TTCTTCGTTGCTACAGTGGTTACCTACACGCATATTGAGGTGAGTTTCGCCTCACTGTACCCGTAGGTCAAAGGCACCAATGTCGTCCCACTAGTCTTGGTTATCTATTAGTGGAGGGGTGCCTTAGGGACTGTATATAGTCATGTAGGGTGGTCTGAGGACTCTTGATCTAAGCTCTCTTACTTGTTCCTTGTTTGGTTGTGGTTCTAGAGAAAGATCACCGATTCGGGTGACTATCTCACCTCTGAGTATATACAGCGATGCATTCCTTGGATTGTTGATATTTAGTATGCTGCTATGTTGTAGTGACCTATTAGATTTGTGTTTTAGTATCAAGTATGCTACTTTGTTGTAGTGATATGTTAGATCTGTCTCCTGGTATTGAGTATGTTGCTTTGCTGTAATAATATGTAGAACTGTATGTTATCTGTGCTTGTTGGTTATCATCTATGGAGTGCCCTTAAGGATTGTCTGTGGTCATGTAGGATAGTCTGAGAACTCTTGGTCTAGGCTCTCTTGCATGTTTATTGTTTGGTTGTGGCTCTAGAATAGGATCATCTGTTCGGGTGGCTATCTCACCCCTGGTTACTTATGGTTACGCATTCTATAGAGGTTAGCTGGTAGCATGACTGTATGTTGTGAGAGGACTAGTAGGCGGTAGTAAGTTGTATGATTGTTGTTTTCATGTATTATGTGCCTACTTGATCCTAATTGTTTATATGTCGACATGTCATGTTTAGTTTGGGTTGAGGCGGTCCTGCTTTGTGTTGTAGGTCAAGATACATGGTGTGGTTCGGCTATAAGCTGAAGGCACGGAGGCTTGGGAAGAGCGATTGGGGTTAGGCGATAGGCCAACAAACCCTAGGTATTCCAACCTGATGGTTGATTGGACCTACTGTATATTGGTATTCCAACCTGGGGTATTCCATCCCGAGGATGACTGGACCTAGAGGTTGACTGGGCTCGGGATATTCCATCCCGATGGTTGACTGGACTTGACATGTTTGATTGTATATGTTATTCATTTGTCTGATAGTATTTTGTGGGAAACTCACTAAGCTTTATGTTTACCCAGTTGTTTATTGTTTCAGGTATCATCGGTGGCTATGGGAAGGCGAAGGCAGGATTGTACACACTCATCAGCAACATTGAGGATTTCGTATTTTCTATGATACTCTGACTTTTAACAAATGTAATTTGGAATAAACGGTTTTCTTAATAATGGATTTATAAATTGGAAAGTTTTACCTTAATAAAAATGAAAAATTTTGGTTGTGAAAATGGGACGTTACATGGACCCTCATTCTACGACAACCATCAATCCACCCTTTTTAAGCTTCGCCAAACATTCGTTGTCAACGCGTACAGAGTTTGAACGACTTAGTAATTGTGTAATCACACTACCTCCTGATGCATTACTAAATTGTTTCCACTCCATATTACGGTCTGATATATAACATGAACTAGCCATCCTTCGACCCACTAATATTAACCAAGCCACCGCCCTCGTAAATCTAATCGAGTACAAAAACAACAACATCCGCTTTTATCCATGATACACTAGTAGTCCCTGACCCTTCAACTTTTCTATTTTCATCCCTATAACCACCACTCCAAACCCATCACCATCAACCGAACTATTACCGAAACCAACCAAAACACCTACAATCTTACTATTCACACAACTCTCCCAGAAGCATTGCAAAAAAGTCATGTCATCGGCTTATGCTTTCGATGCCCGGAGAAATTTCACCGGGGAGCAAATGTAACCCCCCATAGTTCATTTTAATTTTAGATAATGAAGGCAACAACTATACATCAGATGAGACACTTCTAAGTACCACAAATCTACCTTTGAACTCCACCTTCACGATTGGAAAAAAAAAATACAACTTATCACCAAACTACCAACCCACCGTAATTCTTATCCATATCGTCGACGGCTCTATTAGGGCTGGAATCTCCCAAATCCCTCCAAGTAACAAAGATTATACAGGATGTAGAACCCATTTGACGATTGGTTAGTGAGGAATGTGAATAATCAAGAAGTTTTTTATGTACACATGATTAAGAAGTGAGTCTAACTAATGTCTACGCACAAAACAAATTACCACATCTCCACTTTATATACTAGGGAATATATTTTTCATACAATGAACTATTCCTTTCTAACTATCACTCATCATTATAGAGCATTTCCTACTCCAACAATCTCCCTAAATGCTAGGAAATGATAAGGGTAATAAGCAGTGATAAAATGTGGAACATCCGATAGGCAGGCTCGCTGAGATATCTCGGAAAAACTAAAGTTGTTGTGATCTCGGGATCTGGGCAATAGAATCTCGGAAATCGTAAGTCTATTGAGCAATATTGTTTATGCTTCTCTGATGTTGAAGAATAAATCCTAATATTTTTACTGATCAGTAATCCAAGCTGATCAAGTTTCAAGATCCCATAATTAAATCACACAAAGGCTTCAACATTCTAATCTCGAATCATAATGCACCAAAATCTTCAAAAGAATAACATGCTGAAAGTGTGAAGAATCCTAAAGTAAAGTTCGTATAATAAATAATATGGATCCTAAAGAGAGGTCAATGCCAAAAATCAGTGTCACGTCGCATCACCAAAAAAATCTTTGTCTTTTAAATATCAAAAATCCAAACTAGAACAATAATAAAATCTTATCTGGATGCTAACACAAATGAGACATCCAAAGATTTCTTGTAACAAATCAGAGTAGAAAATACCTAAAAAAATTGAATCCGGAACTGGAGTCTTTTCCAATATTTCCCCTGAGGATTTATCAACTCATAAGGTGTAAAATCATACTTCAATTAGCACGAATATTACCGTATAGATAATAGACCAAGACCAGTTAGACTAATCTGAATACTAATTGATCTCCTTTCCTAAATTTCTTCAAAAATCTAAACTCTAAAAGTCACAATTGATGGTCATAATTCTCACCATATTTTTTTATCAAAATGCAATAAAGATAGAAAAAAAGTCATGAAATCGGGCATGAGAATCTCTCGGATCTAATGGAGCATCGCACGCTCCCCTTTGATGTGAGCTTCTACCCGTAAAAACAAGGATATTATTTTCAGGTCATAAGTAGATTGGTGATGTTTTTGTTGAACTGAACAAACACTGAAAAATAAATCGGATAAACCGTTGCTGAAAAATCATAATGTTAAACTGAAGAGTTGTTGATAAACCAAAATGCAGACCCGGTCTTCTGAAGCACGACCATTGATTCGTCAATCAGAGTCGGAATAGAGTCGGAATAAACAGGTCTAGACCTCTTATCCGAAGATCTTTGGTCTGGAAGTGGTCATGAGGCCTTATTTAACCAGATAGAAGGTAAAAAATGCAAACCTTAGAAAGATCTTTGTTGATCAAACAAGTTCCAAACAAACCAAAGGATCTGAAGGTTCTGGGGAACATAAGTATGAGGTTGCAAATATGGATTGCCCGGTAGAAAGAATAACACAAAATAATCTCTAAAACATTTATGTCTTCACTTCAAATCAACAAGAATACCACAAAATAATCTCTAAAACATTTATGTCTTCACTTCAAATCAACAAGAAGATAGAAGTCTTGAATCATAATTTGTAGCTTGAATAAATCTCTAAATAACTCTTGATTAGAGAAATAATTCTGAAGTCTTGATGTGTTCTACAATAAGATGCTTCTAATTAGTAGATGTTGTGGGTGAAATTGGTGTTAAAAAAAACAAATGGTTTTAAATAAAAGGGTTAAATGGTTGAAAAAAAATTGGTCGGACCGTTATAACGACTTCTCGATACTACAAATCCCAATCCAACATCAAGGTCAAACCATCATCTTGTCCGGAGAACCATTGGCTTCACAAGCAATATCCAGCACCGTTCATCTACTCATACAAAAACAAGTGATTGCATCCATGCACACTTTACTATTCCAACCTCAACCACGACCCTCCAAACCAAACACGACACGATTGTCACCCCTAGTATTTATTGATATGGGCATCCCTATACCCACCAACCCGAACACAATATGATTGTCACCCCTAATATTGATAGCTACAAAGAGCAAGTCCAAGATAGAAGACCTCTTCTCCGAGTGATACTCTTTCCAGGCACAATAATAGGGCCACTAGCCTTAGTTACTAGCCTTTGTTTACTTTCAGTTAAGCTATTTATTGTTGCTTAATTCTAGGATATCCAGTTATTTTCCTTAAGTATTTAACAATGTAATTGTTTTTGATGAAAGTATGCAGAAAATTGCTCCACTCAAAGACCCAGTCAATATGAAGATTAACGGCTACAAAGACCAAGTCCAAGATAGAGGACCTCTCCTCCACGAGTACTCTTTCCAGGTACAATAATAGGGCCAGTAGCCTTGGTTTCTTTTGTTTAATTCCAGTTTAGCTGTTTTTTGTTCCTTAATTCTAAGATATTCATTTATTTTTCTTAAGTATATAATAATGTAATTGTTTTACAGAAAGTACACGGAAAAATTGCCTCACATCTATTTCCTTCATTAACTTTTGCTTGGAGATTGACCATCTCAAATAGGTCGTATCACATGCTATGCTAGTGCTACTATCCTCAACCACAAATGATGGGAAGTTGATCGTATTGGATATTCTATAATGTTTGGATTTTATCCAAAACAAAGAATCTATGGGAAGAAAGCAGACGCTTGGGAGTTGAGACAACATGGAGATGGATGGGAAATGTAGCGTTTGTTGTGTGGCTTAGACATAACACGTGTTACAAAGTTAAACATGATATAATATAATCTTTGATGCAACTTAATATAGAGGGAAATGGTCCATGTCTGAAGCCTTGAGCCTTTAGATTGAAAGAAAGAGCCCAAGATTGCATGAAGATGGAAGTATGAATGGCTAATTGGCTATCATCATCATTCATCAATACTCAACAAAAGACAAATCGACGGTTAGTTTATCCGTAGATACATTCACGCCTATAAACCGTAATGCTTTCCTCGGTAGATAGGTAGGAAGGTATTAATTACCACTTAAATAATTACAAAAAAGAAAAAAAAAACCCCGAGTGAAAGGAATGAAGCCCAAAATATAAAACATATATATAGATCTATATTATATTTATCAGCTGCAGCAAGTTTCGGTTGGTGCTGTAATCATCATCATGTACTTCAGTTCCAAAGGCAGATATCTTTATAGAAAGATGAACAAAAATAAAATAAGTTTATCTTTATCCACCACCAAAAAACCCTCTCTGACTATCTTAGTCCTCGATTTCTTGAACCCACGCTAGATCTGTCATCATTCATCATTCATCAATCATCAATCAAATCAAGGTCAGGAGACAGGAGGACATATAACTGCCATCAACCAACCAACACTACAAATTCAAAACTCTTTTCTAAATTTTATATATAT